AATGAACCTATCAAGGTTCATATATTCATTTAAAATAAAATTCATGTAGCGATCTGTGGCACAGGAGAGAAAATGTCATGAGGAATGTTCTGGAAGTTTTATAGAATCTCCTAACATCTTGGAATTCCAGAGCTGCTGTTGTTAGTGTTTCAGTTGTGAGATGGTATGGTGGGTGCTACTCATGTAAAGCCACAAGGTCCATGTTCCATCCCTACAGAAAGACCTTGTTCCCAGAGAACATTCTTTGTAGTCTGTGTTTCTAAAACCTGTTTCAGTAACCTGTAGCTTTGATCAGCTTACCCTTTCCTTCTCCTGTCCTAATTCATCCCTGCTTCCCCTTCTGCATGTAACATCATCCCCTCTCCTTATTTCTGACTAGATTTCTCGAGTTAAAATCCCATATTCCTTATTCCTTCTTTAATCTCAAACCTTACTCTTCCATATGTGAGTTGAATTTATTTCAGTTTGGATTCTTACCATAAGAGCTTGACATGTTTATATTTATTTGTTCACATATATATGTTTTTCAGTTTAAGAATTAGCTATTTTACTTATGTGAAAGGCAATGAGAGCCCTTTTATTCTCTCTCTACTTCGTGGATCCAGGATAAGCAAAGCAGGGCATGAAATTCGCCTTTTTACTTTTCCTTGCCCACTCTCCCTAAATGAAGCCCTCATGTGCCTGTGTAGTCTTCTCACACTCTCTAAATAAACCTTACCATGCTGCAAAAAAAAAAGAAAAAAAAAGAAAAAAAAAGCCAGTGAGATAGATATATATGTGTGTGTGTGTGAGAGAAAGGCAGGGAGGGAGGGAGGGAGAGAGAGAGAGAGAGAGAGAGAGAGAGAGAGAGGCACAGACTCCACTACCAGGTTATTCCCAAATGCCTGCAATAACTAGGGCTGGGCCAGGCTATAGTAGGAGCTGGGGACTCAGTCCAGGTCTTCCATGGGGGTGGTAGGGATCTAACTACTTGGTCCATCCAGTATCTAACTACTGTGCCTCCATCTGTTATCTAACTACTATGCCTCCATCCATGACCTAACTACTTTACCTCCCATTATCAGGAAACTGGAATTAATAAACTTTAGGGGGCACATATTCTATTGTGTGATGCTATTATGTTTGTTTCAAGTTTTTATTGAGTATTCCCATATGTCAGGCATTCTTCTTTGTGTTGGGATAAAGCCTTTAACAAAACACACAGATTTCTTTCTATTGTGGAGCTTGTGTTCTGTTGAAAGAGGAAGACAATAAATTGACAAATAAATACATGAAAATATACAGGTAGTGATAAGTGTTTTTAAATAAAAAAAAAAACAGAAAGGAGATGGAGACAGTAGAGGAAGGTGGATGCTTTTTCATGTTGATCAGGCAGGTCTTGATGGGATGATATTTAAATTCAGAACTTAAATTAAATTAAATTAGAAAGTGAGCCACCCATTAGTAGCTGGGGGAGGATCCAGGCAGTGCAGTGTCAAAAGCAAAGCTTTTTGGCATGTTTAAGGCGTAGCATGAACACCAGTGTGAGTGAATAGGGGATGAGGCCACAGAAACACAGTGGTAGGTGGAGGCATGGAATGGTGTTAGAAGAGCCAGGTCAATATAGGATGTAGGCCATGAGTCTGGAATTCAGGCTAAAGAGCAAGTCTGGAGTGGTATTTGAAGCCTTAAGACCAGTAAAAACCATTTAGCTAGATAAGAGGGCCAAACAGATTAAGAGGAGGAGCCAGTGAGGGAAACTAAGCAGGTGTAGCCAGTGAGGTAGGAGATGCCTAAAGAACATGGCATTCAGGAAACCAGGGACTCAGGGTTTAAGAGTGGCCCCTAATGTGTCACATTTTGCTGACTAAGAACTAATACTGAATTTGGTAATGTGAAAGCTATCAGCGATCTCAACAAAAGAGATGTCAGTGGAAGGATGGATCCAAAAAATGGTTTGGCGAAAGTTGAGACAGGTGGAGGATAGGAGGTAAGGCTAACAAATTTAGAAAATGGCCACATGTTCAGAGTGTTAACTGTAAAAGGTACAGAGAAGTGAGGCAGCGACTGGCAGAGGTTCTGGAGTAATGGAATGAGCATTTGGACTTGGAGCTATAAAACTGGAGCCCTTGTGATGAGTCTTCAGGGGGAGGGGCAACTCTTGACAAAGTGCTTCTTTTCTTAGGGCCTTGGCATCTTCAGTAGAAAAATGAGAATAATAAAATTTACCAGTAGTAGTGATTATAAGGTATAGAGTATAATAAGAGTTTTGTCATTTGTAAAGTTCTATATCAATGCATATGTTACCTCATCATTAGTGTGTAATGGAAATTCACAAAGACATGATCATTTGGAGGAAGCTGAGTCCTGAAGAAAAGATATATGAATGAATGAGTGGACTGAAGGTATTTGTTAAAGGCACAGGGCAGGGAAAGACCAGGGAGTGTGAGGAGGAAGTAAGGAGAGAAAGGCTAGATTGCAACAGAATAAATGTTGGGGGGTGGATCAGATCAGGTGGGTAGAATTGGGCTAATGATGTAGGGCTGAAAAAGTCATTTAGAAAAGTCTGTTGAGGGCCTGCCGAAGGGTGGCCCTGTGAGATCTCCAATCAGATATGTGCAAGGAAAGACTTTGGATTTCTGCCTGATGTGGAATAGCAGGAACTGGAAGAAATTCTATCTCTGTCTACAGAAGAGCTCTAGTGTTTTGAAGCAACTGGGGTGTTCTAATTTGGATAGGGGAAGCAGTAAGAACCAAAGACACGGAAGACACAGGAGGTAAGGAGTATATGGAAGCAGGAAAGCCCGTAGGAAAGGTACTCCCACAACCTAAGAGTGATGATAATCAGGATTGAAGCTTACTGTTAGGAAGTGTGTGTGCTGTTGAAGCCGGTGTTAACATCATGGAGAAGGAAAGTGTTGAAGGAAGATGTGTCTTCAGAAGGGAAAACTCATGAGATGAGTCCTAGGTCAGTGAGTCCACAAGTGATTCCCGAGTATGTACTATGTGCAGTTGCTGTTCTCTCAACACTGCTCTGGGCTGTGTTCCAAATTCTGCTCTAAGCATGGACTGCAACATGCTTAATGGCAGGAAATGTGTGGGAGGAAGCCAAACTGGTGACAGAACTAGGCTTACATTTCCTTTTTTCTTTCTGTTTTGTGAGGGAGTGTAACGTAACTGGATTTTGTATATTTTCTGTCTACTACATAGTTTGTTAAATGAATTAATTATATTTGTTAAAGGAATTAGCAATCTATCTGTTGCTGCAATTAAAAAGATGTAATTTGGCAATATAAATTACGAGCTTTAAAAATGTTCCCAGTGCATTTGTAGCTGGAATGCGTGACCAGATTTGGCTTGTCCAGCTGGTAAAGAATATTGTCAAATCTGCCCCCTGCCATACCACAGTCACTCTTGTGACACTCATACAAGTAAATAATCGAAACAAAAGACACTAATTAAGATAAATAGCACAAAACTTACAGAGAAACACTGATTAAAAATAAAGGGAACAAAGGTTCCATTTGTGACAGTCTGTATTAAGGAAATTTGTTTAGATAAGTGAGAGGATTTAGAGTCAATGGGGTATACTGCAGAATTTTGTATAGTAACCTGTATTTCTAATCCTATGGAAAGTATTGCCTGGATCAGTACTGAGGGAGTGGCACTGGCCTACCATCTTTCATTGAGCATTAAGCTAAGGGATGTGACAGTTCTGCCATTGTTTTTTCTTGGCCTCGATGGTCTTGTAGGTCTTATGTATGTCTGTGGAAAGGATATGTAAGAGGACAACACTGTCATTGGAGATTTAGGTGCAAATAAACAGACACATGAATAAATGAGCTCTTGAATTGGCTTAAAAACTAACTTTAAACACGAAATAATGAGTGCTTACTGAATTAGTAAACTATAGTTTTGAATAATTCATCAGGGTAGGACTCTTATTTTCATAATTTGTGTGATGACCATATGCCACTATTTATAATAGTCTTCAAAACAGTACAGTACATTTGTAATTGATGTCATTAAAATGATGGACTTGGGTTTGGGTTTTAAAGCAGATGTTCAGTGGTTAAGATTAATTTCTAGCAATGGTTTGGGAGGTTCAAACCAAAATGTGTACAAAAGTAAACATTTCCCTTTCAGAGCAAATAATTGGAATTCAAGTGAATGAAACTTAAGCAAGTAGGCATCAACTACAAGTTAGTTTTGACACAGAGGTCTGGAAAGTATCACCAATTGCCATACTTTCTGTGAGCCATAGTGTAATATTGTCTCTCTGTGCTCATGCAAGAGAAGGAGCGAGTTGCTTGTTTAACCCCAGACTGTGCTGGCTGGCCAGGACCTGAGGCTGAAGTCATCCCCATCTGGACCTGCACTAAGGATGCATACATTGGCACGGGCGGCTTCACAGAGCAGCAGCTGCTTGTGTATCTGAACTGAAACAGGAATACACCACAGCCAATTTCTCTGTCTACTAAATAGTGCTCTTTGACTTTTAAAGAGGACTCTACCAAAAGGTTTGGTTCCTGGGTCACTTTTTTCTTATTGGTCTTATAAGCAGAGGAAATAGTGTACATGCTGATACTTTCCAATGGAAATAAAATGCATACCATCTCTCTCCAATAGAAATAAAATCTTTCCATACAGAAGCAGGAGGAAAAGCCTGTACAAGGAAGCATTTGTATCATTCTCAGTCATAGTAAAAAGTGAGTGAATTGACTAAGACATAAACTATTAAAGTAATGATATAAGGTAGACTATATACTAAATAGGCTGCTGTTAAGGCATTTTAAGTGCCTTTATTACGCCAAGAAAAGGAGATATTTCCTTTCTAGCTGGGGAGAATAGTTCTTTCCAATATTAATCCCTGTTTCATTTGGTATATGTTTTTTTTTTCCCTCTTGTCTTGCCAGTAGAATTAAATCAGATGGATTGTCTCAGTGTAAAGGTTAAAATAGTAAACCAAGGAAATCCATAGAGTCATGCTCAACTTTATTTAAATAATTTAATAAATTAATTTCCATTCTTCTTATTTTTGTTCCTTTTCTCTTTCAGTTTATTTTTCCCTGGAAAATATAGTTTCTCTCACACAGTTATTCTTTTCAAGCTAGATCAAGTGAAGTGTTTGCATCCAGATCTTCATTTTCACTTTATCCTGGAAATATACAAGTTAATGGAAATGTTTCTATCTTTATTAACTTGTGAGATAAGATTAACTAGACAATGACTTAGACTCATTGTGGATTTTCTTCAAAATTAGAAGAATGCTCACAACAGCATACTCTGGCTTCTAACTGATCACTTACAGGTTCTCTCTGTATCAGGGACTGTGTGTTTCCACCCTAGTGTGTAAGGTCCCAGGTCACTGTCTATCAGGTAGTAGCTACCAATAGTAAATGAGCTATCAAGTGATTGCTGAACCCAAGAAAAGGACCCTAAATATAAACATGATATTTTTGCCCACGAGTGTGAGCTGGGGTTTGACATGAGAATAATGGAAAATGAAGTACAAAGCCTTTATTTCATTTTGATAGGTGCTAGCACTCTAAAGCTGTCTCTGCTATGACCCTTGGGTGGCATGAGCTGCCTCAAACAAGATTAGTGTGTCCTTCCTTTACCTTACTGTCTACAGAGCTGGAAAAACCAGCCCAGGCCAGTGTCACCGCATTGTCCAATACTTACTTTCTTACAGGAAATGGAAGAATTTCCTCTTCAGAATCTATATGTGATTGAGCAGATATGCAGGGCCTGTTCATTCACTTTCCCTCTTATGCGCTAATGAACATACTCATATCCTCACTTGCATCAGAAACTGTCACAGGCACCTAACTAGGCTGCAGTCAGATTTATGGTGTTTTTTTTTTTTTTTTTAAGTCTGAAAAAAGCCTCTGCTGGGTGTGAATCACAGTGCCTCTTGTGCACAGTGGGATTATGGCAGCTTCTGAAGTATCTGGAACATTTGTAATGTGGCTGCTTCACTGCTTTCAAACACAAGGAAACTCTAAAGGGAATGACGCTGATTCTTGAGTACATAAGATTTGTCATCTTTTGTGCCTTGTAAGGTAAATGTTTATAAGCTTAGGGAATGCTTTAGAATTTATACATGATTCCCTGTCTTCTGTCTGTATCGTATTTCCTCATGATCCTCTCAGCATGCTTCTGAAATATGGTTACCTGTTTATGACTTACTTGTAAGCCTGGACCATCCCATTTCTTGTGGGCATTCTGTAGATAGTTCTTACTAAATCTAGATTATTGAAAGGTGAAGGAATGGGAACACAAATTATCTTTAAAGTTCATTCTTCTGAAATATTAGTCTTTCATGGTTAATTATATGATATTTTCAGAGTTCTCAGCAGTGGATAAATATTATTTGACACAAAAGTCCTATTTTCAAAAGACTGATTTTAGTACCACACTTACCTTTTATAATAGATACCAATACTTTATTCATCTGAACTAGTATAAGCTATTCAGATAATAAAAAAGTAGTTTGGTCTAATTGATATGGTCATGTGTTGTTAGCTTAGAAATTCGCCTTGTATATCTATAGGAAATTAGGAAAAATACTTCATGGCTCTAATATTGAGATATTAAGAATATGAATAATAATCTTACATTTTATGGTATTTATGGCAATCTAAGAGGTAGGTACTTGTGTGATCTCAACTTAAATGTGAAGGGAAGAAATCATAGAGAAGTCCAATAACTTGCCCAAGTCCTTACACCCAAGTTTCAGAATCAGGATTGGAATCCAGGATGGATATCTGAGCATGGGCACTTGCCAGGCCATGACACAACTCAGTCTGGTTGTGCTGTGTGTGTTTTTTTAAATGTTTATTTTCATCTACATGAAAGACAGTGATGGGAAGACGAGGCGAGAAAGGGAAAGAAAGGGGGAAAGAGAGAGATAGAATGTACACAATCTTTCATCCCTTGGTTCCCTCTCCAAATGCTCTCAGCAACCAGGGCTGGTCCAGGCTGAAACCAGAAGCCCAGAAATCCATCCAGGTCTCGCACATGGATGGCAAGAGCCCAACCACCTGCTGTCTCCCAGGATACATTAGCTGGCATGCTGAATGGGAAACAGAGTAACCAACACTTGAACCAGCCCTCTGATATAGGATGTGGATGGCCCAAGTGGTGAGTTAACTTGCTGTGCCACAGTGCTTGCCCCTGTGCTGTGGTTTTTCAGGTCCCCAAGAAGGGCAGCCAGCCTGTCGCTGGCATCTCTTCAACAGGTGGCCTTGGTGAGCCCTTCAAAGTGTTAGCTTTGTGGTTTCAGTAGCAACCTAGTGGGAGTAGACATTTATCGTTCTACTTCTTCATTTCTTGTGGAGAGGTAAATCCTGTCTCCATGGGACAAATTTTTGTTGGGAATGCTTTATATCTTAACCAGCATAATTGGTACAGCTGAGCAGCTCCTCATATAGAAATCTTAGAGTTGTGACAAAAACTGGATTCAGTGCACGTGATCAACAGAGAAGAGAACTGACAATACCTGCAGTGTTTTGTTGTTTTTAAGGTTAGATTTACTATCCTAGAGTGTTCATTTCCTTTATTACTCCTTTAAGTTAGTCTGGCTTCTCTTCTTTCTGACCACCACTCCCCAGCCTGACAGACACTGCTTTCCTGAAGGCTGCTAGCGATGACTCTGGCAGCCTTCATCTCAGTTCTCATGATTCTTGACTCCTTGTAGACCTCCCATCTCCCCCCTACAAGTGAACAGCAGCAAAAGTTCAGGACTTGGGCTTTCCTCTCTCCCTGGCCTTGGCCGTCCTCTCTCCCTGTTTCTCATTTATGTATGGCATTGTCAAAAGATCACAGCCATCACCTTGATTTTGTGAACAACTCCCAAATCTTTAATTCTAACCATCTTAATTTTTTTTTTAGAGATTATTTATTTGAAAGGTAGAGTTCCAGAGAGGGAGGGAGGGGAGAAGGGAGAGAGAGAGAGGGAGGGTGGGAAAGAGGGAGGGAGGGAGGGAGGGAGAGAGAAAGAGAGAGAGAGAGAGAGAGAGAGAATCTTCCATTTGCTGGTTTACTTTCCAAATGGCTGCAATGGCTAGGGCTGGGCCAGACTGAAGCCAGGAACCAGGAGCTTCTTTTGGGTCTCCCACATAGGTGCAGGGACCCAAGCACTTGAACCATCTTCCACTACTTTTTCAGGTGAATTAGCAGGTAGCTGGATCAAAGTGGAGCAACTGGGACTCCAACTGGCACCCATATGAGATGTCAGTGTCACAGGCAGTGGCTTTACCTACTGTACCACAACGCTGGCCTCCCCATCTTCAATTTTCCTGTCTCCCTTATTTCTAAAACTAATGCCATAAAATACTTTTAATCTTTAATAAAAATTTAAAAAACTGTATTTAGGAGGTGGAGAGGCATAGAGAAGGAGAAATAGAGAGAGAGGGAGAGAGAGAATATCTGCTGGTTCACTTCCCAAATGCCCACTGTGGCTGGAGCCAGGCTGGGGATGCATGCTGAGACTCCCCCAGGGGTGTCAGGAACCCAACTGCTCAAGCCATCCCGGCTGCGTGCTGGGGTCTGCATTGGCAGGAAGCTGCCATCAGGAGCTGGAGCTGGGAATCAAAGGCTCTACAGTGTGGAACACGGGTATCTTAACTGCTAGGCTAAATACCTGCTACTCCTTTGATTTTTAAATAATCTATCTAAAAGCTAGCCTTTCCTTACCTTAATATTGGGAATTGCTGTAATAGGCCAAGATTACTAATGATTTGTCCAGACTGACTCTTTGGCTTGAAGTTCTCCTTACATGGTGCTGCTGCTCCATCTTCTAAAGGCTTAGCTTTGATCAGGTGTACACAAGGGCTTCTCGTTGTGAATGCCTCCCTGGTGCGTCATGTATGCCTGTTGTCCAGTGAACAACAGCTTCTCAGTCTGTTTCCGTAAGCCCACAGTGACTTAGCCCTGTCTTATCTTTACAACTCCAGTCACTTTCTCACACACATTCTGGTTCAGTGGCTGTCAAATTGTATTCAAGCCAATACCTCCTCTTTTTTTAGAGCAGGCATCCTTTACTATGCTGAAATGAAATCCACAGGTTTTCTATATCTATGCATGCAGTTTCCAAAAGACCAGTATAATGCCATCACTGTAATATAAAAGAAAAATAAGTGAAGTTGATTAAAAATTATATTTAGACATTTAAATATCTAAATATTTGGAGAAGAATGTTCAGAAAACATAGCAAGGTGCTTGAATATGTGTGAACCTACCTTGAATGTGACAGCTGCAAACTGAGGTTGGTTTAGGTGTGTGGTTAGTGGTTCAGATATATCAAGAGCAACAGTATTGTGGGTAAAGCTTTTCTGAAATGTAGAACAATACTTGCTGAAGTTCCTTACAAAAAAAGTTTGCTCTAACTTTGTTCTCTAGATAGTTTTATTTCTAGAAAGTCCAATGCATTGAAACCATAGAAAAAAAAACACTCTAAGTTTGGTTCTAGGCTCCTGTAACTATAACCATGTTTTCTCACTTACTTGAATGTCTGACGGGTTTTCCATAAATCATGACATATGTGGGACTTTTCATTCTGTAAGACTGACTATCCTGTGTATCGCAGGATACTTAGCATTCGTAGCTTCTGCCTACTCGATGACAGAACCTCCCCTCCCCGCAGGGGTTCATACCATCCTGTGCCAAGAACCACTACTTTAGCCAAACTGATCTCACTGTTGTTGAACCTGCCTGGCCCTTTCCTGGTGGCACATCTCTGTGCTGTGCTTTTTTCTTTGAATATGCTTCTCTCCATTTCCATTTTTTTCAAATCTCACCCTCTTGAAATCTTTTCTCTCTAGCTTAGATGGTACCACTCCATTAAGCCTTCCTTCAGGAGTGAAGTCTTTCATTCTGAAATCTTGCAGCACTCTGGATATGACACTTCACAGTTCTTGAAACGGTGCCTTGTGTTATGTTACAACTATTATCTCACCTGCCAGCTTGCAAGGTTCTTGAAAATGCAGACCACATGTCTGAGTTTATATTCCTCATTATTTCTGGCAAAATTCTTGCACATAGTAGGTGTCCAGTGAATGCTTATTAGGTAAATAAATTAGGTAATTTTAAAAGAATGTTTGACCATGGCATAGTGGGTGGGGCTGCTGCTGCCTGAGGTGGAGTCCTAGCTGCTCCACTTCCAATCCAGCACCCTGCTGATGCTCCTGGGAGGGCAGTGGAAGATGGCCCTAGTGCTTGGGCCCCTGCACCCATATAGGAGACATGGAGGAAGTTCCTGACTCCTGACTTCAGCCTGGCCCAGTAGCCATTTGGGGGCGGGGGTGAACTACAGATGGAAGACCTCTCTCTCACTGCCTCTCCCTCTCTCTCTTTGTACTTCTGCCTTTCAAATAAATAAATTTTTTTTTAAATGGAATGTAGAGAAGAACAAAAGGGAAAGTTGGTTCTGATCTTAACATTTAGAACTTACTTTTGTTCTTATGATATTTACATTTTCTCTTCATGTCATTAACTTCTAATGGTACAAATTGATACTAGCAAACGCACATAAAAGTCCATAGTTTTGTGACTTGATTTGTATATATATATATATATATTTACAAATATGTTCTTGTTGGGATAGTTATTAGATGTAAGATAATTTTCTACCCCTAGCAAGTTTGGAGCAAAACTTAACCAGTACTCAAATATTGTAGGGAAAATGTGGATAAAGTGCCTCCTTTTCATTTGATTCTGAAATGTACAGATAAAAATCAGCTTTTGAAGTCAATCAGGATGCCTGTGCAGCTTCCCTGTTTTCCCCCCTTTTTCAGAAACCTCAAAACCACTATGGTAATTCCCTCAAGAGCTCCTTCTAACACATACAGTCTAAAGAGCAAGCAAGATTTCCAAGAACTGAAAGCTTTCAACTTTCTTGAGCATCTCTCTCCAGTGACATGAGCTAGGAAAGCCGGTGCTCACTCCACCCACCTTTCATCTCTAACTAGAGGAGCATGAAGCATTTGTGCAGTCTTTCCTGCCATGCCTTCATTTTCTGTCATCTTAACTCCATCACCAATCCTCAGCCTCCTAACAATATCCGTATGAAAGAAATCAGACCCCTTCGACAATGAAAAACACATTTAAGCTACTGCACACCACCATTGCCACTGGAAAAGTAGATATTATTTTTTCTGTCAATCCAACTGCAGTACTCTGGCAATATGCAATTTTCATTTCGTGTTTCCATGTATTAAATAGTCAATCTATAGGCGTTAATCAATGAAAGTGGACGATGAGAAACTATGGTAATGTGAAACTTAACAACTCTTTGTTTATATTTTTTCCTGAAATAGGAAATACTTGTCTTTGAATGCAGAGACCATGTAAAGTGATCCAAGAAAAATGATATGGTCAAATGACATGATTAATTTTCATTACTCTGTTTCCATTTCTTCCCTCATGTGCATTTAAGCCTTGCCCAGACCGCGACATGAAAGAAAAAAGCCCAGACCTTGGATGGTTCAGTCAATTAAAAGCCAGCTCTTCTTGTAGTTTGAACGCTGCAACGGAGTACAAAGATTTGCTTTGCCTTCAGTGATTTTACGTAGATCCAGGAAGTTTAGAAATACCTGACAGAGGAGATTACAAAAGAGGATGTGAGAAAAGTCACCTGAGTGATACAGAGGGGAGTACCACTGATTTCAGGTGATTTTGGCCTTCTTCTAAGGTTGCCTTTTTTTTTTAAAGATTAATTTTATTTATTTGAAACACAGAGAGAGGTGGAGACAGAGAGGTCTTCCATCTGCTGGTTCACTCCCCAGATGGCCGCAACAGCTGGAGCTGTGCCGATCAGAAGCCAGGAGCCCCGAGCTTTTTCTGGGTCTCCTACATGGGTGCAGGAGCCCAAGAACTTGGGCCATCTTCTACTGCTATCCCAGGCCATAGCAGAGAGCTGGATTGGAAGAGGAGCAGCCAGGATTAGAACTGGCGCCCATATGGGATGCTGGTGCTTCAGGCCAGGGCTTTAACCCGCAGCGCCACAGCACCGGCCCCAACTAAGGTTGCCTTTTATTAGATTGTCCTTTCTTTGATACCCAAAAATACTTCTCTTGATCTCTGTGAGCTTTTCCCCGAGGGCTCAAAAGCTGTGCCTTCTGTAGCACTGTGGTTGGGCATTAAAAGATCTCACTTCCAGACTTGTTTCTCTTCTCTGAAGACATGTCCCAAATGCAGTAGCTCTTACATTTGTTAGCCCAAGACTCTGGTGGGTTCTGCGGCTTTTGAGAAGGCAAAAAATTTCCATGGAAATTAAACTGATTCACTTTAGCTCACTCCCTCTACCATTCTGTCCCTGGGAAATTTTTGCAGACCTTGTGGATGCAGGCCCCCCAAATTTGAGATTTAACAGATGCTTACATAATAATGGTATTGTGGTGATCATAATGGTGTCACATTTCAGTGTTGCCAGTTAAAACCAAGGATAAAAGAAAAGCAAACCACCGACCATCTTAAAAAACAAGGGCATGTGGGGGTTGGCTATGGGGGTGCATGGGAGATTGCTATCGGTTTCTCACTATGTTTTCTAGCAACTGTACCTCAACTTTTAAAATTTGGTTGAGTGATACCCATTCATGGGCTTCACCAGATTGGTTACATCAAAAACCAGGTCCAGACCAGAGGAGTTGTTGTTTGTCAGGGGTACACCCAGCTTCCCTGCAAACACTATCGTTTGGATGATATTTATGGCTGTAATTTAAAGATACTTGTTGTTATTAATTTTTTAAATTTCTTAAAACAAGGTGCTTTGTACCTTTTCCTCCTGTGCAGAACTCAGAGAGTATCTTCTCAGCTCAGGTGTCTTCAAGGCTGTTTGAATTAAATAGAATTGTCAAGGCAAGGTGTCCTCTTATTTCATAAGATTGGAAACAGTTTTCTCTATTAATGGTTAATTTTCCAGGCGTAGTTCCCTTTTCTCTAAAGAGCTCTGATTTTTTTTCTTGAAGGGCACACAGTAGAAACTGGTTTTCCTTCTTTAACAGAAATCTGTTCTTGCCTTGCTGTTTTAGCCAGTATACTGTCAAAGTTAAACTTTGATACTGCTTGTGTTTTAAGGAAATAAATCTGATAAATGAAGGTAAGTAGAGTTTTTTTTTTTTTTTAATTTAAGAAAATTCAAAACTTGTTTGGTGACATAGTTTTCATGCATGGCTAGGCCCTTTCCAGTTGTTTCTGTTTTCAAGAAATTTGAAGATTTTCAGTTTACTTTTTATTTAAACTTTTCCCTGGATTGTTAGAAATAAAAACGCCTTAGTGTTGGCTGTGCAAAACTGAGATGTAAAAGTTACTGGAAATGAAAGTGAGCAGAGGGATTTCTCTAACTCATCAGTGGTAGGCATCAGAAACAAATAGCAAAAGTGAGAAACAAAATTTGAGTCTGAGTATCAGCAGTGAAGGCAGAGTTTTAATCAGATGAACATGATTTGGAATTATGTTTCCTTCTCCGCCAAAAAGAACATCCTTGGATTTTCTCCTGTTCTGCCAAGTACTCCCTCCCAGGCTTTCGATATGTTCTATAGGCCACACACACAGGAACAGGGCTGTCTGTCACAGAACCCAGATGCCCAGCTGTGGAAGATATTCTTTCAGCAGCATCAGTCTGCTTCTTGGCAAGATTTTCAGGCAGTCTAAAGAAAACAGTCCTGGAACAGCCTTTGGGCCTGCCTTGTGGTTAATACTTGCCGGCTTGTATCTCGTTCCTGCTCTGACCTTTTGGGCCTACTGCTTCCCTACAGCCATTCTCTCTCTCTCTCTCTGTCTCTCTCTTTCTCACTCACTTGCTTTCTTTTAGAGCATATTTGTGATTTGTGTTTGATTTAGTGAAACTGCTAACGACAGCTAGAACAACTTTGTTTTGATTGTTCCAGCAATGATTTGAAGAGAGGTGGGTGGGTATTGGAAGGCAAAGATCTTATGGGAAGAGAAGAGACTCTTTCTGCAGTGGGCCAAGTATATTGGCAAAATAAAAAACAGTTTTCACTGGTTCATTTTCAAACTTGATCTTTAATGGCGTGAAAGGGAGAACCAGTTCATTTCATTGCCAACTACTGTAATAAAATTCGGATTCAGGGGCAACCTGGCGTGGGTTAGCATATTCTGTTCTTAAGGGAATATTCTTAGACTTAAAGGGTGGTCTTTGAAAGCACTGTATAATAGTAGTATTTTTGGTTTAAATCATTATTTTTATAGCATTTGTGTTATTCAGCCTTTGCACCGAAGAGATTTTATTTTCCTATTCTCTTGATTATTTTAAGGTTAGTAGTTGAATGTTGCTAGAATTTACACAAGGGAGTGGTTCCCCATCCTTCCCTTCCCCCAGCTCCACCCTGCCCCAGTCTTCCCACCTGCCAATTGTGGCTGAAGTAATTCCCCAGCAGTGCTATTGACTTTGGGAGATGCAGCATTTCCGGTTCTTACTCGGTGTGTGTGCCTTAATATTTGACTGATGATTAGTTGTTTCTTAACTTGGAAGTCCAGTTCATTTCTCTCCTTGATCCAGAGAATTAACATGTGGCAGTCAAAGGTGGGGGTAGCGGTGCCTTATGTATGACGACAGGTGCTAATCTTCAAGGAAATTTACCTTGCATTCCACCCATTAAGGGCATGGTACATAAAACTGGCTTAATGTCTCTTTGAAGGTGTCAGCCGGCATATGTGGACCACACAGAATGGGTTTCACTGAAAGTAATAGAGTGAAATTGTCTGCATAATTATTTTCATTGGATTGAGAATCAGCAGCCCTCTTTGGGTTCAGGAAATAAACCTCTGTTAAAACCATATGGCACTATTCTCAGAAGAGATGTTATTACAGGGCCACTTCCCTCTGAAATTTTGAGTCAGAGGTTCTTGAAAGGAGTCACATATGTGTGCGAACCAATGTCAAGTTTTCTTCCTCAGGCATAGCTGTGGAAGTCAGATGTTTCCTTGCCTTTTTCACAAATGCCACCATGGTCACCAGGTGCAAGGTCCTTGGGAAGTAGCAGGCTGGGCTACAGCAGCACAGCTGCTTCAGGTATAAATGTTTGAATTATTCTCTGTGCCAAGAATTTTGTTCTTAAAAGAAAAGAAACATTTCCCTTTATCCAGTGAAACATGTGATTTGTCAGCACTGAAAACACATCTTAAGGTCAGGATAATTGTATTCCGCCTGTATAAACCGTTAGTGCAGATTCAGTTGGCTTTGCTATTATTTTTCCTTTGCCCAGCATCAATGACTATAAAATTTTCCTATGAACTACTTGTTTGTTGCTGTGCTAGGATGCCCCAGAAATAGCTCTATTAGAGCGAAAAGTCAAGTAAGAGTGCAGTTTGTATAATGGCTAGGGAATATTTGGGAATGAACCATGTTAGGTAATATCTATAATATTTTTATATTATATATATGTGTGTAAGTATTGAAGCATATACTACAATGTGTCCATTGTGATGAATAATTGTGGATTTCATCTTTTTTTTGTGAGGGAAGTAGTATTCATGTTTAGTCCTTGCTGTAGCAAGAATATAAGCAAACTGTTGATATTTGTTGATGTCTGTTAATAAGCCTGGAATCACATTAGACTGTGTAGTGCGCAGTTTGGCTGTTGGTGATGCTTGGGAGTTGAAACATCTTGAGTGCCAGACTTGCAGTGAGTGTGTCTTTAACATTATGTCAGCTTTTCATTTTATATCTGAGGGGAAGAAGGCAAAATGTCCTGTGGCTGTGAATGGTTGAGAAGACTTTTTCTATTGCTTTATGTGTCTTTTAGTGAGAATGTTTTCTGCTAGGTAGAATGGTTGCTGTCGTGTAGATTATTTCAATCACTGACTCACGTTTTGGATTCAGTCATAAACACTTGTTGGGTATCTGCCACATGTACTTTAAAAACACTGTGGGAATTAAGAGATGACCCAGGCATCTCTATCATCAGATGGCCCAGAAAGAAACTTCATGTAATAAGGAAGATGAGACCTGGTTATTAGTGATTCTGATAGAAAATGAGAAGGGACCTAAGAAATGGACAGCTAAAGTGACGGGGGTGTTAAGAAGCAGTTTTACTCCTATTTAGGATGTGGAGGGAGGGTTTTATTGACATTACAGCATTTGAGTGGAGTCTTGAGGAACAACAGTTAGGCTTACTGCTAGAAATTCTGGGTTGTTAAATACTGGGTAGATAGATGGTATCTTTGAGAAGACTAACATTGTATGTCAGTTGTTTTTATGATGGAAAAAACCACTTCGTCTTGCCCCTGCTTCATGTGCAGGTCTGCTAGTGGAGGTGTAAACTCACATGCCTCTCTGCTTTGGCTCAGGTTATTCCTCCTTTTTAAAAAAAAAATTATTTATTTATTTGAAAGTCAGAGTTACACACAGAGAAGGAGAGGCAGAGAGAGAGAGAGAGAGAGAGCGAGCGAGAGAGGGGTCTTCCATCCCCTGGTGCACTTCCCAATTGGCAACAACAGCCGGAGCTGTGCCGATCCAAAGCCAGGAGGCAGGAGCTGCTTCCTGGTCTCCCATGTGGGTGTAGGGGCTCAAGGACTTGGGCCACCTTCTGCTGTTTCCCCAGGCCATTGCAGAGAGCTGGATATTGAAATGGAGCAGCTGGGACTTGAACCGGCGCCCACATGGGATGCTGGCACTGCAGGTGGCGGCTTTACCCGCTATGCCACAGTGCTGGCCCCCAGGTGATTTCTTCTACTTCAGCCACCATCTACTCTCTTCTCTGCTATCCAGGACTGACTCAGTATTGAGGGATACATTAAATACATTACATCATTGAGGGATACATTAAATATATTACATACATTGAGGGATACGTTAAAATGCCACCTTCTCTGGAACTTTAACACTTCTACCATTTTTAAGTTCTGTAATTGCTGATTTCCCCTACTAATGCTGCACCAATACCACCAATGTGATTACACCCTATACATTGTAGATATTTCAGTGGATATAATTTGATTGGCCAAAAGTAGCTCAGATAATTGAATTAACCCCTTTAAGGCATAGTGAAGCTTGTTTTCACATTAGTGTTAAGGAATAAAAGCTTATTACTGTGAAATGGTTTGTTAAATTATAGATCAGTCTAGGGCCTTCTTTTGAATTGATAGAAACTAAGCCAATTACAAAATTATTAGGGGTGGTAATCATGTTTTTCCAAGAATATTCTAAATCATTCTAGACTTTAGCTACCCCTGGAGTTTAGTTTGTATAGTGGGAAAAATAAGAGATCCAAAAATCTTCAGGTCAGTTCGGTGGCTCAGCCTTTCTTTTCACAGTCTTTCTTTTATGTCTGTGCAGCTCTATAAATGATACTCTTTGCATTGGATTTCTGCCATATTGCC